CAGCTGAAGCATGGACTGGACTCACAAAAAAGCCTCCAGGAAGCCCCTTGAGGAGGTGGAGGTAGTTGTTGACCCATTAGAAAGCTATCTCTGCTAAGAAATTCACTTCCTAGCTGGGAAGTGAATTGGGGCACGTGGGGACCTCACCAGCTCCTCTTGGGAGTGCTGGTGAACTCATAGGATGAAGCCATTCACAGGGTGGTGCTGCTTGCCTCTTATGCTTGAGATAGGGAGTGTGTGAAAAGTTTATTAGGAGGTAACACCAGATGCTTTTGGCAACTACAGGAAGGGGTTGGACAGGGGGAAGCTAGGGAGGTGCCAATCAGTGGTGGTAGCCAGGTCACTACCAAAAAGACATGCACACTGCAAGAGCTCAGATACACAACTGGAAATAGGAAAGAAAACTCCTGTATTTGGACTCTCCAGAGAAACACAATAGGAGATATATGTATGTATATATACATACAGGCATACCCTGGAGATATTGTGGTTTGTGTTCCAGACCACCACAGTAAAGGAAATATCCCAATAAAGCAAGTCAAATGAATTTTTTGGTTTTCCATTGCATAAAAAATTGTGATTACATTGTAGTCTAAAGTGTGCAATAGCATTATATCTAAAAAAGTGCACACCTTAATTTACAAATACTGCTAAAAAATGATGTCACCTAAGCTTTCAGCAAGTCATAATCATTGATCACAAATCACAATAATGAAAACAACTGAAGTATTTTAAGAATTACCAAAATGTGACAGAGACAATAAACAAAGGTATGCGCGCGTGTGTGTGTGTGTGTGTGTGTGTGTGTGACGGAGAGTAAAGAGAGAGAGAGAATTTACCATAGAAATTGTTTCAAGTGGTAATGGAGGGTAAGAAATCCCCCAATCTGCTGTCTGCAAGATGGAGAACTAGGAAAGCCAGTGTGTATAATTCAGTCCAAGTCTGTATGCCCAAGAACCAAGGGAGCCAGCAATGTAATGCCCAGTCTGAGCCAAAGGCCTGAAAACTGGAGTGGCGTGGGTGCGCTAATAAGTCCTGGAGTACCAGGAGAGTAGATGAATGTCCCATTACAAGGAGACCAAGAAATTGCACTTTCTTCACCTTTTTTGTTCTATTCAGGCCCTGACGGACCAGATAATGCCTATCCACATTGGTGAAAGAGATCTTCCTTAGTCAGCACTCTGCTTCAAATGCATCTCTCTTCTGAAAACACAGAAATAATGTTTTTCCAGCTATCTGGGAACCCATTAGCCCAGTCAAGTTGACACTGAAAATTAACCATTACATCCTCCTCCTCCAGTATCTCCAGCATCCTCTGCTGTCTCTTTTGAGTAGTGTTACCAAAGTATATCTTTTAAATTCTTTTAGTGTCAACCTATTACTGTCTTTATGTTTAAAGTGAGTTTTTAAGAAGTATATATAATATATATATATATTGGTCTTGCTTTTTTATACAACCTCACAATTACTGCCTTTTCCCTCAAAACAGTATTCTTAATGTAATGATTGATATGACTGGTTTAAATCTACCATCTTGATAAATCATTTTTAGTTTAACTATTTGTTAAACTATTTGTCAATCTACCATCTTGTTTTCTATTTCTCCCATCTGTTTTTTTATTCCTTTTCCCCCACCTCTCTTAAATGCCTTTCATTTTAATCTCCTTTGTTGGCTTATTATATATTTTGTCTCTTTAGTGGTTGCTTTAGGGTTTCTAATATACATCTTTAGCTTATTAAGACTACCTTTCATGGTATATTATACCACTTCACTTAACAGTGGAGAACCCTACAACATACCATGCTATATGGAATTATGTCTCAGTTTTTAAGAAAAAGAAAAGAAGTTTACAACAATTAACTTTCATTTCTTCCTTTTTGGTTTATGTGCTATTATCGTCACAGTTTTACAAGTTATAAATCCCACAAAGCATTCTATTATTATTACCTTAAACAAGTTATCTCTTACATTTAAATAATTATAGTGTTTATATTTGCTCGTGTAGTTACCATTTCCTGTAGTTTTCTTTCCTTTGTTCATAATCCAGATTTCTATCCGGTATCATTTTCCTTCTGCTTGAAGGATGTCATGTAACATTATTTTCAACTTCTTTATGTCAGTAAGTCTTTATTTCATTGTAATTTTTGGAAAATATTTTCACAGCATTAAAAAGTCTAGGTTTTATTTAAAGATAGTAAAGATATTGCTCTACCGCTTTTCCTGGCTTCTATCATTTCCAACAAGCAATCTGTTGTCTTTTTTTTCCCACCCTCCATATCCAATGTATTTCACCTCTCTGACTGCTTTTTAGATTTTCTCTTTATCATTGGGGTTTTAAGTAATTTGATTATGATGCGCCTTTGTGTAATTTCCTCCATGTTTCTTGGGCATGGAGGTAATTGATCTTCTTGGGTCTGCAGATTGATAGTTTTCATAAAATTTGGAAAAAAATTTAACATTATTTCTTCAAAAACTTCTGTCCTCCCTCTCTCTCCTTTGTGGACTACAAATACACATAAAATAGACATTGCTTAATGTTTTCCCATAACTAACTCAAGTGCTGGGGTTTTTTTCCTTTACAGTATTTTTTCTGTGTTTCATTTTGGATGCTTTCTATTGCTATGTTTCAAGTTCACTACTATTTTCTTCTACAATGTCAAACCTGTCATTAATTTAATACAGTGTATTTTTCATCTCTAGAAGTTCAATTTTGGTATTTTTGAAAATTATCTTAAGCCAACTATTATCAAGGTCTTTTAAAACATGAATCCATGTCTTTTTGCTCTGTACTTCTGAAAGTTATGACTTTAAGTTTCAAAGGCTAGTATGTCTGAAATGAAACAAAAGGAATGTTAAGAAGAGGTCTATAAGACAATAATCTTGATCACTAAATATAGCATTGTCCTAATTTCTTTCCTTTCTTCCTCCCTCCCTCCCCCTTCTCGTGTGTGTGTGTGTGTGTGTGTGTGTGTGCGCGCGCGTGCACGCGCACGCACCTAGTTTTAATCAGTAATACTGGCCTTGTAAAATGAGTTTAGAAGTTTTCCTTCCTCTTAATTTTTGCAATAATTTGAGAAGGGTAGGTACTAATTCATCTTTAAATGTTGGGGAAATTCACCTGTGAAGCTCCCTGGTCCTGTTTTCTAGGAGTTTTTAAATTACTGATTCAATTTCATTACTTGTAGCCAATCTATTCAGATTTTCTGTTTATTTGTGATTCAGTCTTGGGAAGCTTTGTGTTTATCCATTTCTTCTAGGTTTCAAATTTGTTGACATATTTGTTTATAGTAGTCTCTTATGATCCTTTATGTAACATCAGCTGTAACTTCTATTTTGGATTTCACTTGGTCCCTCTCTTTCTTGATGAATCTGTCTAGAGTGTTATCAATTTTATCTTTTCAAAGAACCAGCTTTTAGTGTCATTGATATTTTCTATTTTTTAAGTGTTTATTTCATTTATTTCTACTCTGATCTTTATTATTTCCTTCTTCACTTATTCACTTTGGGCTTTGTTCTTTTTCAAGTTCTTTAATGTGTAAAATTGGATTGTAAAAGTTATTTAGATTGTAAGGTTAGATGTAAAGTTAAATTCAGAATTTTGTTTCTTGAGGTAGGCCTATCATCTTATAAACTTTCTTAGAACTGTTTTTGCTGCATCCCATAGATTTTGGAATTTTGTGTTTCCATTTTCATTTGTCTCAAGTATTTTCTGATTTTCTCTTTCTTTCTTGACCCATTGGTTGTTTAGTAGCATGTTCATTATCTACCATGCTGTCCATACATTCTCTGCTTGAAAAACTGCCCAAAATCTCTCAACTCAACCAATTCATTATTTAGGTCTCAGCAGTCTTCACTTCTACAAGAATGTTTTCCTGACCTCAAAAGTCCAGTGAAGTATTCCCTTTGTGAATCTCTATTAATTTGTAACACTCTACACTAACACTTATTATATGGTTTTATCATTGCTTGCTTACATGTCTGTATTCTGTGGCAGACTATATTAAGTATGAAGGCCAGAACTGCATTTCTCTTGGCTGGGTCCTCTCAAAGCTGATTTCCTCTTTGTGACACAGGATGCCCTGAATTATTGTTTCCAAAATCTTATGGCCTTGAAGATCTGCCTCCTGCAGGCCTCCAGTGGGTGTGCAAGTTATCATATTCTGGAAGTTGACCTCATAATGATTTTTGCCCCAGAATATGCAAGGCAGAAAAAGAGTTGTCCAGATTGATCTAGCAGATGACATCACATTTTTAAAACTATCTGCCTTAACCTGGAGTTGTGGGGACCAATTAAGGACTGGACATGTTCATCTCTTCCTCTTTCCCCCAAGAGTGTAACAAAACAAAAAGTGCCAGCTCTGTTCCTGAAAATTTCAACCATGCAGAGATTGCAAGCTGTCAATATCCATTTGCTCTTATTTGCATTGAGATTCCTGTCCACTATGTTTACATTTTCCTTAAAATGTTTTCATTTTATAAAAGGTATCCTACTGTATGTAACCTTTTGGGACTTATTTTTTCACTTAATATTGTGCTGCTAAGATTCATCCATATCATTGCATGTCATTGTAACTTATTTGTTTTGGCTGCTATACATCATCCACTCTTCTGATGATGGGCACCTGGATATTTTTTTGGTTTAAGTTTTGCTATTGTCAAAGTGCTAAAGAGTATATTGTTCATATTTCTTGTTGTACATGTATCAAGAGTTTCTCTTAGCGTATACCTAGAAGTGGTATTGCTGGATTGTACAGTGTGTGAAGTTACATATTATTTCATATTTTCATTTTCATTTGATATTTTCATTTTTTGACTTCCTGTTCTACTTCATTTTCCCTTAATCCTTTAAGCATACTTATTATGCTTAAATTATTGGTCTATTCATTCTGCTAATTGTGCTTCATAAATATCTGTATGTATGTACTTAAAGGCTTGGGAATAACACACACACAACTATTTAGAGTGGTCATCTATAAAGGAGTGAGAGTATGAAACTAGACCAGGAGAGCATTTCACTTTATTTTATCATATAAAATGTAGAAAGCCTTAATTAAGAAAAAATAGGTAGAAGACTTAACAGAAACTAAAGAATTTTCTTAGGGAAGTACTAACTGCTGAAGACTGCTCCAGGCATGATGAGCATCTGTCTTATTAGTAATCCATGGTAAAGCTCCAGGGACAACACAATCCCAGATCTCTCCATGAAAGCCAAGCTCACTGATTGGCCCTTTTACTCTGCTGAGCATATCAGGAGCAGGAGGATCAAAGTTCCTGGAGGAATAACTTTTGTTCATTTAGTTTTTTTGGCTTGGGGTTTTAGGTTGGAGCTGGGAACCCCACCACCCTTCTTCCATTCACAGATATCTGCATAGTTGCATGTCCCGCATTTCCAAGCTTCTTCTATATCAACTCCTTGAGGATGTCGGTGGCCCATCCAGTAGGCCATATAGTGTTGCACTTTGCCTCTCACCTCCTTCTCTTCAAAGGCCACAATCTCTGTACCCAGCACAGTGGCAGTCTCTTGGTGGATATACTCAATCTTCAGGATATCAATAACTGGGAGGTCAGACAGTGTCAGAGATAAGAAGACCAGCTCCATGAGGTCACCCAAGGACTTCACAGAGAAGCCTCCCTGCTGGGCATGCCTCAGCACTGAAGGTCCCAGTGGTTTTTCAGGACACAATTTTGCATGGTGGATTAGGCTGGCAGTTGTCACTTTCCCTTGTACCATGGCATCAAAGATATATTTATACAGGCTGACTTGAAAACAGTCTTTTTTTTTCTGAGCTTCCAGAGGGAGCACAGGGCGCCTGCGTGTCTTGAGTTCAGCAAGTTCCAGTTCCCCCTTGGTTGTATAGTGCAGCTCATCAATCACTCCAACAAGAAGCACACCCTCTACTTCTCCAAATACTGGAAACTCTCTGATGAGCCCTTCTGCCTGCAGGGTAGGAATCATTGATAAAATGTTGAGAAACTTAACTGCCCAAGCATCTTCTTTAGTGGTGATGGGGATAGTCACAAGATCATGAACTTCCAGTTCTCTAGCTAGGTGGATGCTGGAACCAGTGTCCAAAACAGCTGCCTTCTCAGGTGCCAAGAAACCAGAAAACTCCTTCCCATATATCATTTGCTGTTCACACCAGTCCTGAGTAGATAGATCAGTGACATACAAATATTTAAGGTGGAATTGCTCCATAGGTGATGAGACATCCAATCCTCTTTTCCACTTTGGTAAGCTTCTAAGCTTGCCATCCTTCCCGGGGAGTTGTGAAGAGGAGCCAGGCTTGCTGAGTGAAGCACTTGACTCTTGGTTATCTTCTGGGTCCAGAGACTCTAGAATCTCTGAGTCACTCAAGTCTGAGAACCCTGAGGCCTCTGCTGAGGCCATCTCTTCTTTCGCAGGCTCTGCCATGTAACAGCTGTGGATTGGGGCAAAGGCCCTGCACATCATGTTAAAGAAACACATTATCCAAATAAAATACTTCTCAAAAGCACTTTCAAATACTAATGAGATAAAAAGAATCATATGACTAATTATTTATTTACATTTTTGAAAGAAATCTAGTTACTAAAAACCAATTAGTAATGCTACACAGTTGTATAGCACAAG